TTTTACCGACAGATATTTTCCCATTTGAATTGCTATGTAAATGATGAGAATCATGATTTTGATAAGTAAGATCTAAAATATGTCAATTTATATTTATATTGAACTTTTATTAGAAAATTTTCTTTCAAGGTTTTCAGTAGCTTTTCGTTTATTAAACATTGATTTTCGCATTTTATGACAAGAACAACAGATTAAAACTAATAAACCAAGACATGCACCAATAACGAATAAAGCCAAGTAAGACCAATAAATACGAGCTTTTTTTGGAATCATAACGACTAGATACAATGATTATGGATATATATTTATTTTAAATTTATTGAAGAAGCATACCTTTTGGTTTTCCAACTTTAATCGAATAACTTCGTTCATAATTATCTCCATATTTATTTTTTGTAAAGATACGAAAATCATGATAAAGTTCAGGTTTAAGATCAAAAAGTATAAATACACAATTAGCTAATATATAAAAAAACGTATTTCGAGATTTTTTTTCAATAAATTTATAAACCTTTTAAACGTGCATATTCAGAATATGAACCATTTTGTTAACGTTTATACATATAACAAAAATAATCTTCATTACCTTGATGATAACCTGCGATATAAGTGAATATATTGCAATGATAGATAAAAAATTTCAAGCACAACTCTCTCAGCATTTCCTGTCGTTTTCTAACATATGAAGTTTTCGATCTATAATGTTCTGAATCAACATCGGATACCTCCACTAGTAATACAATAAAATAAAATGTAATAAATTAAAATATAATAAAACAAAATGCGATAAGGTAAAGTGTAATAAATTAAAACATAATAAAACAAAACACAACAAGATAAAATAATATAGAATCTGGATGTGGATGTCAGAAGTAAGTTATATTTACCATCCATCATAACCCACACTCACACCCGTGTCAAAAAAGAAAAAAATATTGTGAAAGTAGAAATTTAAATAAATTCAATAGTGTTGTCAAGTTTAATTAGAGCTCCATAAACGGAAAGTTTTGTCAAAATTCAGGATGTCGAATAAACACAATTGGTCATCCATATTATGTGTATTCTTATAAGAATATCACACTGAATAAAGTAATAAAATGTTAATGAATAAGTGAGGCTTTGTTCATAAATAAGTTTTACACATGTAAGACAACACTAACGCTGCTCGAACCATCGTTTGCGACGACAATATCGGGTTTGTTGTCGCTATTCACATCGGCTACTGCTACTAAATATGGACTTGAGCCGACTGAGTAAGTAGCTTGACTAAGAAACGTGCCATTACCAACATTGAGTAAAACACCAGTGCTGTTCGAACCATGGTTTGCGATGACAACATCAGGTTTGTTGTCGTTATTCACATCGACTACTGCTATTGATAGTGGACCAGATCCAACTGGGTAAGTAGTTTGATTAAGAAATGTACCATTGCCGACATTGAATAAAACACCAACGTTGTTCGAAGCATAGTTTGCGACGACAA